TCCTCCTCACCCTGACCCCGTCTGCGCTGGCCCACCTCCACCCCCTCCTCCTGCCGCCTCTGCTTTGTGGCCCCACTCCGTGCTCTCTGCCTCCTCCTCTCTGGGCTCCCCTGCCTCCTTGGTCCTCATCACCCCCACCCCTCCTCCCTCACCTCTACCCCCACCCCCACGACGACTCCTTCCTTCCGTGGCCCTCCTCCATGCCCCGCTCCCCCACCGGCCTTCCCAGGCCCGCCTTCGGCTCCGCGGGAGCTTTGGTTCGAGGTGCAAGGCTCAGTGCTCATGCTGCACTGGCGCCTGCCTCAGGAGCTGGGGGGGCGAGGGGACCTGCTCTTCAATGTCGTGTGCAAGGAATGCGGAGGCCACCAGGAGCCTGGCACGGGCACCCCGGGCGCTTGTCGCCGCTGCAGGGATGAGGTGCACTTTGACCCCCGCCAGAGGGGCCTGACTGAGAGCCGAGTGTTAGTTGGGGGCCTCCGGGCACATGTGCCCTACGTCCTGGAGGTGCAGGCTGTGAACGGGGTGTCAGAGCTCAGCCCTGACCCTCCCCAGGCTGCCGCCATCAATGTCAGCACCAGCCACGCAGGTGAGCCTTTTACTCTTCCTGATGCCTTGCCCGGCCTCCTGAGAGCCCCTTCCCCCTTCTCCTGCTGCCTAGACCTCTGGAAACCCTCCTACTAACCCCCCACACTCCAGTTCCCTCTGCAGTGCCTGCGTTGCACCAGGTGAGCCGGGCATCCAACAGCATCACGGTGTCCTGGCCACAGCCAGACCAGACTAACGGGAATATCCTGGACTATCAGCTCCGCTACTATGACCAGGTCGGGGGGGGGGTTGTCCAGCAGGGCTGGGGGAGCTCCCCGTGCCCCACCGTGGGGACAGGTGTGGGCGAGAGGTGCCGGGAAGCCTGAGGGGTGTGAGCAGGGGTGACGGTCTGGGCCTGGGCAGCAGTGAGTGAACGGCTGTCACCCCCAGGCAGAAGATGAATCCCACTCCTTCACCCTGACCAGCGAGACCAACACGGCCACGGTGACGCAGCTGAGCCCTGGCCACATCTATGGCTTCCAGGTGCGGGCGCGGACCGCCGCAGGCCACGGCCCCTATGGGGGCAAGGTCTATTTCCAGACGCTGCCTCAAGGTGAGAGGAAGCCTGGATGGGGAGGGGGCAGCGCCGGGAACGGTGAGGAGAGGCCAGGGGCCCTCCAGGCCTTGAACCCTCACCCAGCACCCTCCAGACTAGAGGCTGAGGATAGTTCCGGGGCCAAGTGGCTGGCCTTTGGGTGTGTGGGCAGCCATGAGCAGGTGCAGGGGGGCCGGGGTATGTAGGTGTGTGTGCAGGGGAGGCCTTACCCACGTGTGATCCTGGGTGGCTGGTTCCGCAGGTGAGCTGTCCACCCAGCTGCCCGAGAGACTCTCCTTGGTAATCGGGTCCATCCTGGGGGCCTTGGCCTTCCTCCTGCTGGCTGCCATCACCGTGCTGGCTGTTGTGTTCCGGAGGTGAGCCCCTCCCAGCCGTGTCCGACCACCACTCACCCCGCGGCACAGCCCCACATCTTGGCAGCCCCACAGCCCGCTGAAGAACCCCCCACCAGCGCCCGCCTCCCACCACCCGGCCCTTTCCTGTGGGGCCCGTGCCCAGGTGGGAAGGAAGGATCACAGATCCCTGTCTGGAGGGTGGCCTGCATGGGGGCCGAAATGGGGGAGGCAGAGGAGTGAGTCATTCCAGGACTCTGGTTTGTCCTCAGGAAGCGGCGTGGGACGGGCTACACAGAGCAACTGCAGCAGTACAGCAGCCCAGGTGTGGGGGTGGGGGGGGCCGGGCCGGGGCCGGGGGCTCCCAGACCGAGAGCTGGGGGCCGACCACAGCAGGCAAGGCCAGCTCTCCCCCGAGGTTGAGGGGAAGCCCTGGCTACCGCCTTTGTAGGGAAGAGGGCATGCCCCGGGTGTGCGGGCAGCCTGGCCCTGCACCACGCCCTCCTAACGCACCCCATTTGCCTACAGGGATTGGGGTGAAGTATTACATTGACCCTTCCACCTACGAGGACCCCTGCCAGGCCATCCGAGAGTTTACCAGGGAGGTGGATCCTGCATATATCAAGATCGAGGAGGTCATAGGGGCAGGTGTGCGGGGGCAGAGGCAGGGAGTGCGAGGGCCCGGGATCCCGTCTCACCGGGGCAGGACACCCTGAGCGCCAGCCCTTCCTCCCCACTCTCCGCCCTACACCTGCTCTCCCAGGCTCCTTTGGAGAAGTACGCAGGGGCCGCCTGCAGCCCCGAGGACGGCGGGAACAGGCCGTGGCCATCCAGGCGCTGTGGGCTGGAGGCGCCGAGAGCCTCCAGATGACCTTTCTGGGCCAGGCTGCGGTTCTGGGCCAGTTCCAGCACCCCAACATCCTGCGGCTGGAGGGCGTGGTCACCAAGAGCCGGCCCCTCATGGTGCTGACGGAGCTCATGGAGCTGGGCCCCCTGGACAGCTTCCTCAGGGTCAGTCCAGCCTGGGGGCGGGCCGGAGGGAGGCCTTGGGTCCAGGGAGGTTTACAGTTCTCAGCTGTCCCGGACACAGGAGACAGAGCCCTGTCTCTTTGCTCCCCTAGCCCCGCTGGTCTTCGTCCTTCAGCCCCAGGCCATTTTCTGGTTCCCCGATCCCCACTCCCGCTCACACTAACCCCTGCCGGGCTGTGCAGCAGGCCAGGGATTCGCGCCCCGCTGCTGGAGGCTGAACCCTGCGCCCTGCCCCTCAGCAGCGGGAGGGCCAGTTCAGCAGCCTGCAGCTGGTGGCCATGCAGCGGGGAGTGGCCGCGGCCATGCAGTACCTGTCCAGCTTCGCCTTCGTGCACCGTGCCCTCTCTGCCCACAGCGTGCTGGTGAACAGCCACCTGGTGTGCAAAGTGGCTCGTCTCGGCCACAGTCCTCAGGTGAGAGCACTGCGGGGCGGGGGGGCGGGGGAGGAGGGGGCGGGGCTCAGCCTTTTCCAGAGGGTGCTGGAGGCCGAGCTGTGATCCGGGGTGTGAACCACCAGTGGCACACCGTGGTGTCTGAAGGGATGGAACCCCCCACCCCCCCCACCCCGAGCTCCATCCAGGAGAGAACGCCGGGCAGACATCTGAGCACACAGCAGTTGCTCAGTTAATGTGGCCACTGCACTAATTATTGCTACTGTTACTTCCAACCCCACCCCTCAGGGCCCAAGTTGTATGCTTCGATGGGCAGCCCCAGAGGTCATCGCTCACGGAAAACATACAACGTCCAGTGACGTCTGGAGCTTTGGGATAGTCATGTGGGAAGTAATGAGCTATGGAGAGAGGCCCTACTGGGACATGAGTGACCAGGAGGTGAGCTCTCGACCTAGACCTTGCTGATCCCCCATCCCCATCCTTCCAATCCACCAGCCTCACAGACTCGTACGTTCTGAGCCTCTATTCTCTAATCCGCTCACATAAGAAGTTCTCTTGGCTTCCATATTGTTAAGTCCCTTCCCCACCCTAACTTCCTGCTCCGCCTGATCCCAGCCCACCCACTAACCTAACCAGCAAGATACTGCCTTCCACCAGCAGGAGCTTCTCATCACCGCCATCCTCCTCTAACCCCCAGGTGCTAAATGCAATAGAACAGGAGTTCCGGCTTCCCCCACCTCCAGGCTGCCCTCCTGGACTACATCTGCTTATGCTAGACACTTGGCAGAAGGACCGTACCCAGCGGCCCCATTTTGACCAGCTGGTGGCCGCGTTTGACAAGATGATCCGAAAGCCAGACACTCTACAGGCTGACGGGGGCCCTGGGGACAGGTCTGGAGATGGGGACTGGAGCCTGGGACAGCCAGGGAGGGTGGATACAAACTGAAAACCAACCGAGGAGAGGGGAGTAGAATGAAGGGGAGACTTTGACACCCCCTCCCCCCACTTAGACCTTCCCAGGCCCTCCTGAACCCCGTGGCCCTGGACTTTCCTTCTCTGGACTCGCCCCAGGCCTGGCTTTCGGCCATTGGACTGGAATGCTACCAAGATAACTTCTCCAAGTTTGGCCTCTGCACCTTCACTGATGTGGCCCAGCTGAGCCTGGAGTAAGCAGGGAGCGTGGTGGGGTGGGGATTCCTCTGGGCCCCGGGCCAGGGGTCACGCCGGGGACCTCCGAGAAGCCGGCCCAGACGTGATGCCCTCCTTCCCCACCAGAGACCTGCCTGCCCTGGGCATCACCCTGGCCGGCCACCAGAAGAAACTGCTATACAACATTCAGCTCCTGCAGCAGCACCTGACGCGGCCGGGCTCAGTGGAGGTCTGAGGCCCGGGCTCCAGCTGTGCACGGGCGGGCGATGCCCTGGACGGCCCTGGACGTAGGTCCCAGGAGCCACATGCGATGTGAGAGCCAGTCTCTGTCTCGGTCTCCTCCAGAGTGCCTGCCACACTACACCCGACCCCCCCGGAAGCCTCGATCCCTAGTCCTCCTCCGCCCTCCTCCACCCTCCCCTGCATTAAAGGGAAAGAAGAAACTTTGCCAGGTGGTAGTGTGGTGAGGGCCGAACCTGCGAGGAAGGGCTGGGAAGGCCCTGGAGGAGGAGCCCAGGGCCACTGCCTGCAGGCAACGTGGCAGAGCTGAATGCGCCGGGGAGCAGAGCAGGGAACGACTTTATTGGAAGGTAGAAGGTGGCAAGGCTCGACCAGCTTTACCCCACCCCCAAAGCGGTTCCTGTCCCCCTCATTCGTGCTTTCCACGTGCCTCCCCCCGCCCAGCTGTCTGGAGCACCCTGGGAAGGACTGTCCCCTTCCCGCCATGACGCTGGGGCAGAGGCGGCAAGCCTGTCCTTAAAGTGCTTTGCTCTGACAGTGCAGAGTACTTCAGTAAGGCCGAAGAGCCACGCAGCCTGGTCCTCACTGGCAGCAGCCCCGGGCTCGGGGCGAGGCGAGGGCCGCCCCCCTCCTTGCTTTCTGTTGGCCCCAGAGCTGATTGGGTAGTGGAGGCCCGAGTGGTGGAGGCCAGGGCAGCGATGCCCAGCTTGCGGTCCCGGGAGAGCATGCCTTCTGCTTTCCCCCTGGCCCTGGGAGCTTAGACCTCCGGGTGTCTGGGGTTTGTGTTTTGACGCCCCCAGGAAAAGGGGAGCAGCTGCGGGCACCGGAGGGCAGAGCGGGCTCAGACCTGGTACTCCCAGCCCTCGCCGTCCTCCAGAGCCCTGTTGACCAGCCCCCGCAGCTCCCTCCTCAGGGTGCCTTGCCGAAGCCTCTCCCAGTTGGCGCTGCTGCGGGAGGTACTTCGGGACACTGAGGGGGTGCACAGGGACAGGTGGGGACCCGGCGGGTGGTCCAGCGGCGGTTTGTCAGAGGCTCTGTCCAGGTCCTCGGAGCCCTGGCTGTGGAAGGCCTGTGCGTAGCGCCGCATTCGCTGCCGGTTGAGGTCCTGTCTGTCTTCCACCCTGTGGAGAGCGAGGCGGTGAGGGGGACCGTGCCAGTGTCCTGCGCCCGCCCCGTCCACCACGACGGGCCTGCTCCCTTCCCTGCGGCTGCTGCGGGCACGGGGGCTGCCAGCGGCCCAGCGGCCAGCGGCCAGCAGGCATCCCGTAGGGGACCTCAGGTCAACGCGGGTTAACAGGCACAGTCCCCCCCCCCGGGGGGCAGGGGGCTGTCCAGCCCCGGCAGGAACTCACCGCAGGAACCAGCGATCCCCCAGCCCGTATTCGCGCCCGCAGATCCCCGAGCGCGGCCACAGGCAGCGGGGCAGCTTCCGCTCCAGCATCACCGTGGTGGCCACCACCTGCGTGCGGAGACAGAGGGGCCGTCACAGGTTGGGTGCCGACTGAGACATCGACTGAGGACGGTGGGAAGAGGAGAGGGCATGGGCGGAGGGGGGACAGCTGAGCAGTAGCTAGGAAACAGAGGAGCTCAGGCCTCGAAGAGGCAGCAAACAAACCCCCGGGCCGGGGGTGCGGGGGAGGGGGGTCAGCCTGGCTGACCCTCTTCTGTGGGACAGAGTCCATGGGCCATGAGCCCACAACTCTTTACCCCGTGACCTGACATCCATGCGGATCGTGCAGGAGATTGAGAGGCCCCGCTCCAAGAAGACACAGAGGAGGGCAGAGCAGACAGAAAGGGATCCTCAGGGCCACAGGATATTTTGACCCTACAGACATAAAGTCCATTAAAAAATGCCCACATCCTAGTGAGAAATCGAATATCAATACATGTGCATGGAAAAACATTTTCCTGAGCAAACCCCGTTTAGCCAATCGAAGGCCTTTTAACAGTTTTCTACACAGCGCAGCAAAGTAGCATTCAAATTGGGGGATTTGCATTTTTATTTTTGTGGAAAATAAAAAAGAAGAAATAAGTATATTTCTATACTTAGAAATTATTTTCTAAGTATATTTTCAAATGGTGCTTTAACTCATTTAGCGGTCTTCTGTCTCCATCATGATCTGACCGAAGATAACTTCCGCTCCTCTGGGAAGTTTTGGTAGCATTTTTTTTTTAACCTGTCCAGTTTTTCTGTGTCAGATTTCACAGACTGATTTCCGAAATGCACTTTCAGCCACCATAAGCTGTATTTCATGTTGATTCTTCTAGAAAAGCCTGAGGTTTTACTTTTTGAGAAAGTGATGAGGAATTCTTTCCAGCTGTTCGGGTATTACTCAGTTGTATCGCGAACACTCTGTGATTTTGTGTACCGCGGTGGTAACCATCTCTACGGTCTCAACCTACGTGGGGTCAAAATATCCTGCTTCTGTCTGAGCTCCTTTCCCTCTTTGGCTGGGAGGGAATGGCCTGCAACAGACATCCCAGCCACCGGGGGGCTCACCTGCGCCCTCCAGAGTTCATCCCGCTCGTGGGCCACCCGCCAGTGAGTGTCACCCATCATGGCGATGAGGAGGTTGAGCATGAGCAGCGTGGCGATAATGGCGAAGGCGGCGTAGGTGATGCTGTACATGAAGGGCAAATCCACGTCATAGTTGGCAGGCCCGTCGATGACGGTGAGGAACAGCTCGAAGGTGCTGAACAGTGCCATGGGGTAGTCGTAGAAATGGCCCAGCTCGTTCGGGTCCTCTGTCTGGAAGATGATGTAGAAGGCTGCTCCACCCAAGGGGGTGAGAGTTACCATGGCAACCACGTAGGAGACTGGACCACAGCCAGCTCTTTGCTGCCCATTCCAGCCCTGTGCCCCTCTTCTGCATCCAGTATCCCCGTCCAGCCTTCCGTGCTCCATGCATTGGGTTCTTATATTCCCTTATTTTCAATATGGCTTAGCGTGATCCCAAGAGTCACGTCTGGAAGCACTCCCAGTTTTGACTCCCCTCCAGGCATATTCCATCCTCAGACCCTACATCCTCCTATCCCTGCCTTCCCTCCCAGCTTCCGCCAAACTTATCCACAGGCATTCTGGGCTCTCCAGCCTCCTCCAACCTCCCTCTCTCGTGGCCCCTTCCCAGACATGATTTACCTGAGGCAAAGCCCAGGATGACCACAGCCATCAGCCAACAGAATCGCATCAAGTCGCCAAAAATCATCTAAAGGGAGGAGGGGAAGGAAGATACCTCCATACGGATCCCCTGAGCAACTGCCCCTGGCGGCCTCTCACTAGACTAACCCTGAGAAGTCCCACAGCTCCGCCCTCCGGGGGTTAGCAAACTATGGCTGCATGGCAAATCTACTTTGCCTGCTTGGGTATGGCCCTTGAACTAAGAATGGTTTTTACATTTTTAAATGTAAAGGGACTGAGAAATTTTAAAGTTTAAAGGATTGAGAAAACAAAAAGGAGGAGGAGGAAAAGAAATGAAAATGGAATAGAGCCCACATGTGGCTCGCCAAGCCTTCCGATCTAGTATCTGGTCCTTTAGAAACACGTCTGCAGCAATCCCTGCCCTAGGACCTTTCTCTAGAAAGCTCAGGGGGAGGCACGGACCTTCTGGATCATGATGGTGAAAGGGCCCAACATCTGGAATCCTCGGGCGAAGTACATGACATTGCACCAGCCCAGCACCAAGGCGAAGGACATGGGCACCACCTCCCCGTTGGCATTGGTGAGCCGCATCACCATGGTCACCAGCACCATGCAGGCATAGGTGATGCTGGGGGTGGGGAGCAGAGGGGGAATGAGAGGAGACTGGGATCATCGTGGGGATGCAAGAGACACTGAGGTGACAGCACCCACACACTCAGATTCGGCCTTCCCAAGTTCAAGACACAAGGCTACATGTATCACTGGAGAAGGACCTCTGGAGTTAATTTTCCCCAGGGATCGTCCAGGGCTCAGGAATCCAGAGAGTGAGTGAGGGGCCTCAAGGAAAGCAAGGAGACTCACATGAGGACGTGGAATGGCCCCCCGAGGATGGTCTGTCCAAAGAAGCGAGTGACCCCCACCCTGAAGATGTCTGGAATCTGGAGAGAGACCGGGAAGCACAAAGGCACTTGTAGACAGAGGCTCGGGCTGGATCCCTGGGCCCGACAGCCTCACCCGAGATCCTGCCCACTCCTCACCTCTGCAAGCAGAATGATCACAGCTCCCATGACAGTCACCAGCTCCCCGACCAGGCGGATGTTATCCTCACGGCTCACGTAGGCCTCCTGCGGGGGAAACGGGGTCAGAGCACTCAGGGGCCCCATGCATCTGGCCTGCCTCCCCCTGGGCACAAGTCCGTGTCTCCTGCATAGGGTCACCAGCCCTGTCGGATTCTTTTTAACCTGATAGGCTGGGCTCTCTCAAACCCTTCTCTTTGAGCACATGTGTGTTTCTGTGCACCCGTATTTTGGGTTTGTGCCTACGTAATTGAGAGCTGGGTGAGGGCAGAAATGGGGGCTGGAGAACAGGTAAGCGCTGTGGGTCTGAGAAAGGGCAGGGAGCTGAATCCTGCCCTGAGGCTCAGCGCCCCTAGGGCGTCACCTGAAGTAGCTTCTGCTGTCGGAGGGTATTGTCCCGGGGACCAGTGTGGTTACTGGTCCTGGGCTTGAGGGGGCGGTAGACGCAGCACATGGTGAAACAGATGATGTACAGCAGGTATATGGTGCCCAGCACGCAGAAGTACGGCCGCCCATATCTCTTCCACTTGAGGCTCACCAGCTCTTTCACCGGGGTCTGGTCCAGGATCTGGCGAGCCTGCGACAGAAAAGAAATAGAGCGGGCACCTGGGAGACCCTGACTTCCCTCGCCAGCTGCTTTCTGACCCTACGACCCATACCTCCCGCTTCTTGGTGGTCACAATAAGTTCCAGGAGAGACTGCTCATCCCCCGAGGAGTCAATCTCGGTGAGGTCGTAGAGAGTGGAGGTCAGCGGCCCGTAGGTCCACTGGATGTGCTTCCGCTTCTGCATCAGGTGCTGGAACATCTGTGAGGAACGGCGGGCAGTCAGAGGGTCAGTGTGAGAAGCTGGCTGGGGGTCTACACCGCTGAAGAAGGCTGTGGCCCACTCCTTGGGACTAACGGACGGTTCGTTGCGTGAGCCTCCTTTTTTCTGGTTATCCTTCTTTCCCACGGACCCTATAAAGATCTGAACGAGGAAGACAAGCAAAGGGAACAGAGCTCCGGGGTCCCAGAGCTGATGCTCTGAAGTGACATTCTCAAAGCCTCCGAGTCAGGAGTCCCTGAGGCTGAGCAGGCTCCCAACCCTCTGGGCAGTTGGGGAGGAAGGGTCTTTGGACGGACGCCACGGGGCCGGGGGAGTGCCCCTCACCACGTTGTTGCCCTCCACTCCGGCCAGCTTGAAGGGGGTGAGACCCTGGTGATTGGGCACGAGGTCCAGGGACTGCAGGTGCTCCCTGCGCCCATCGTAGGACAGCAGCAGGTTGTACATCTGGCAGGCAAAGGTCTTGTTGGGCTGCAGGATGAGGATGTGCAGCACGGTGTTTCCTGGGGGAGGACGCGGGCGTCACGGAGCCATTGGGCTAAAGTCCCCGCTGTTCCCCTGCCCACCCTGGGGTGGGCCTGCGGGCTGTCCCGGCCCCTGCCCTCACAGCCCCCCAGCACCCCGGCTCTTACCCAGGGAGTCCTGGGCCCGGATGTCGGCTCCATGCTCAATGAGCAGCCTCACGATCTCCTCACTGCCCACGCATGCAGCGAAGGACAAAGGGTGCTCCCCTGTGGACACAGAGGGCTCCGTGGCATGAGTGCTCAATGGGCTGGGGGGGTGGGCAGTGTTCCCGAGTGATTGCCTCCTTCCGTCCACATCTCAGCTCTGGGCCTGGGGACACTTGTCAGCAGAAGCAGAGGCAGGGACGGAGTATGTGTCACGGGGAGACTTGGCTCTGGCCTTTAGTCCTAGAAGGCCTGACCCCTTCCACTTTTCCAGGGCTGGAGCCCTCTTCCACCCACCCTCCCTTTGCTCTTGCCCACCTCCCCATCCCCCTTCCTCCCAGCCCTGGCCCTGCTCTCACCAAAGTAGATGAGGTTGCGGGGGCTGCGGCGGAAAGCTGTGCCTGTAGCTCTGGCAGAGACGCTGGCCCCGTGGGCAAGGAGGGCTCTCACCAAGTTCATGTTCTGGTTCACGATGGCTATGTGCAGTGCGGTCTGACCTGGCCCAGAGAGAGCCTCAGTCATGGGGTCTGTCCCCAGGATCCTGCAAGGCTCCCTCCCATATCTACACCCAGTCCTCACCCCATTAGCCTGATGGTGGGGGAGGAGGGACAGAGCCCCGGATCTAGCAGGGTCCCCAGGGAAGCCAACTGCTGTTTTTTCTCCCCTTGCATTTTGGGGGCGGGGGGGGGGGTTGGTGTTCTAATGGTGTGCAGTGAGGATGACAAGAAAAAAGGGAGATGGCGGGAGGAATGAAACCCTCTTTGGTTGCCCCAAGTTAATCCACTGCAGAGACTGGCTTAAAATATGCAGCACCCTCACCTTCGTACAGCTCTGATGTCATGGTCTCGAAGACCAGCTCCGGGGCAGCCTCCATCAGCACTATGGCGGCCTCCAGGTTGTCGTAAAGGGCTGCTAAGTGCAGCGCCGTCTCCCCCATGGCTCCTGGTGTTGACAGAAAGAAGAGTCCTATGGCTTCCGTGGAGCAGGGGAACGGTGACGATAGGCATTTAGGGGCCCACCACAGAAGGTCCGGGGCTCTACTGGGAGCCACGTGTATAGGTGTAACAGGGGCCAAGCGCTCTGCCGCTTACCTCTCTGGTGCACCTCGCAGGCCTCATACTTGAGTAGCTTGTTGAGAGCCTGGACGTTGTTCTCCTTGGCAGCTAGAAGGAGAGGCGACTCCCAGATCCTACAAGGGAATGGAATTGGGAAGGTGGCAATAGTGAGCAGGCCCCCTTGTGCAGAGAGGCCTGATGGCTTGGCTCCATCAGATGTAAACATGTGCACCTCGTGACACTGAACTTGATCCAGGGAAGTGAGGTCAGCGGGGTACCGAGGGTTGCCTGATTTTTTTTTTCTTGACCAGTTAGTTACCCCCAAACCAACTGTTTCCCCTTTCAGCCTGTGTGGGAGAGAATCAGTGACTGGTTTCCTATCCTCTGAGTGCTGGGACCAGAACATGTGTGTATGTGTGAATGTGTTATCTGTGTATATCGGGTATGGAGGAGAGGAGTTAAAGTACTCATTCACCTCCTGACCTACTGACCTCTGGAGCAACCCTGTTGAGCTTCACTAAGTGCCCTGTGATTACCCGCCAAGATAAGCTTTGTTTTCATGGACTAAGGGTACAAGGAATTCCTCTCTCATATTTGTGAAGAAAGTCAACATGTAGAGGCCAGCAGATTTTCTCCAGTGGCGTGATGCTCTCCTTTCTAAACCTTCTCAGCAAAGCCCATTGATCTGGCACTTTCTTTCCTACAACAGCATCCTCAGAGCTGAATCAGAAAGTAACAGTGGGTCCTTTTTGTTCTGACCCCTAAGTCAGAGTGTAGTTTCTTCCTATTTCCTGTCTGCTTCTCACTTGTTTTAGGCAAAAAAAAAAAGCATCTTCTCTGACTCATTAAACCCTCTTGCGTTTTACTCCTACAGTGAACTAAAACCTATATTATTATAAAAACTTAGCCCAACTAAGACCCACGGGGCTCTCTTTATTCAAATTCTCTCTTGGCCCAGAGCCATTTGGTCTTTCTATGGGATCTAAATGAAATTACGCCATTTATCCATAGATGGCCGACTATGTGAATGGAAGCTCACACACTGAAGTACTGGGGCTGGCAGGAAATCAACTCGAAGAGCTGGGATGGGAGGGTGATCAGGAGAAGAGGAAGGGGCACAAGACTCACATTCCCCAGACTGTTGGCCCCAGCTCCCCCACCCCCACCCCCATGCCACCTGGAGAGCCACCAGGCTTTGTTAATTCAACATTCAATCCCTACCTCCTCGTCCCTACTGACCCTCATCAGTGCATGTCTTCAATACTCTAATCTGCCCCTCATTAGCAAAATATTCCAACGTGTTTCCCTGTGCCCTATTTACCCCCAATCCATCTTTCTCCACACTGCCAGGGTACACCCTCTAAATGGCAGTGCCATCGCAACTTAGAAAAATCTAATAGGTACTTAGATGCTCACAGAGAAGGAATACAGAGGTCCTTTCTAGCTTCTGTGCACCTTTTTTTCCACTCCCTCCTCCTCCCCTTCACTCCTTATTCTTGATATTCTGGCCTCACCGTCCCCCAGAACACTCTATTCTACGGATGCTTGTGCCATATGTAACTTCCACTTGGAATCTAGTGCCTCCACCTCACCTTGTTCATTTCTGTTCTGTCACCCCAATGCCTAGGGATGTGCTCTGCATATGGTAGACACTCTACCACCATCTGCAGAATGAATGAGTTTGTAGCAGTGCCAGAAGGTAGTTTGGCCTTACTGCCCCTGCTTATTATCTCCATTGGCCACCCTCTAAGCCAACCTTAGGCAAACATATAATCTAAGTAAAAAACAGTACGCTTGGTATACAAACACAGCTGCAAAGCAAATTTTCTATACCCCTTCACCACCACCACTGCTTTTCCAACAATTTGCCCAAACCCCTCCTCTATAAATTTTCTAGAGCCAGCCCTATTCCCCAACACACACACACACACACACACACACACACACACACACACACATCCTCCCCAGGAAGTTTTCCACACTATATAGTCTGGCCCTTTATTTTCGCATCTTTCACTGTGTGTTGTGATTAGTACTATCTTTCCTCTACACAAGGGGCGCTTATGGGCAGACGTCAGCCACTTTCTCATCTCTGTTTCCTTTCTCTGCCCTCTTTCAATTAGTTTCTGGCTTTATGGCCTATTTTGACTATAGTTAATGGCAAAGTTAGAAATGGACCCAAGGGGACATCTTACCCAAGTGTAGGGTTCTGCTCCCTACTTCCTAAAACATGCGTGGAGAGGCTAGTTGGTGGAAGGCCTGACTTCCCTTTGGGTCCTTAACATGTCTCTGAAGCCCACAAATGTCCCCGACAAGCCTCCATTCCCACGAGATCTTTTTTCTGACCTTGCTGACTGCCCTAGCAGCCTGGGAAAGAACAAGGAGTTACTGTCCATTGAAGCTTGCCAAATTCACCAAATAAAAATACAGGATGATCTGCTAGATTTTACTTTTAGATATACAACCAATACTTGTTTAATATAGCTATGTCCCACAGGACATCTGGGACATACTAACAACTTAGTGATCCCTTAAATGAAATTCGATTTAACTCCACGTCCTGAATCTTATCTGGCAATGTTTGTAGAGAACTGCTCTCTTCTGGGTGGCAAACTCCAGAATCCAGCAAAAAAGGGGGCAGTGTAGAAATGGTTCCCAGGGTATCAGACGGGGCAATTAACTGCAATGGCATCATAGGGCCACAAGGGGACAGCAGAGAAAGCTCCCACTCAGACAGCCCTCTTGGCAGTTAGTTGGACCCCCCAAAACTTGACTACCCTTGGGACCCTTTTATAAAAAAGGCACAAGAGCAGACCCATCCAAATATTCTTGTGCCTGAGACACAAATAGTTTCTACCACAGTAACCCAGCACAGGAGTTTAGATCTGGAGCAAAATCTTTACCAGGTCTCTGCTAGACACCTCCCTAGGGCAGGAAGAGGAGATACTGATAAAATGTCTTCTGGTTTGAATGGTTAAATTATACTCGGTCCCTTCCAGGGGAAATTTTTACTTTATGTAATAGAATACTTAACATTGCTATTTACAGATGGTGGTTTAGAGCTGTGGCTCTCAACCAGAGGTGACTCCCCCTGCCAAGGAACTTGGTAATGCCTGTTGACATTTTTGGTTGTCACAACAGGGGTATGGTGGGGGGATGCTACTGGCATCTAGTGGGTAGAAGGCAGGGATGCTGTTAAGAAGTGTCTTGTGCAGGGCAGTCTCCCATAACAAAGATTATTCTGTCCAAAACGTCCATCTGCCAAGGTAGGGAATTCCTGGCCTATAGCTAGAATTGTTCATAAACAATTTTTTTTAAAAAAAGAGGACTCTTGGGGCGCCTGGGTGGCTCAGTCAGTTAAGTGTCTGACTTTGGCTCAGGTGATGATCTCACAGCTTGTGGGTTCGAGCCCCACGTCAGGCTCTGTGCTGACAGATTCCTCAGAGCCTGGAGCCTGCTTCAGATTCTGTGTCTCCCTCTCTCTCTGACCCTCCCCTGTTCATGCTCTGTCTCGCTCTATCTCTCAAAAATAAATAAATGTAAAAAGAATTTAAAATAAAGAGGACCCTTCACATTAAAAAGAATGAGAAACTCCCTATACATGTTTTCTTACAAATTGTTATTAAATATTTAAGAGAGAAACAAAAAGGTAAAGCCTTTTAAGCCCTTGCTGATTAAGCAGCAAAAAGAAATTTGAGAGAAAATCTGAAATTATAGCAGTATGAAAGCTGTTTTCAGAATTTAGCATGCATTATTTTGCTGGACAATTATAAAATTGAATGGTTTTGTTCAGCATTAAACTGGTGAAAACCATATTACAAAACCTAGCCCATTGTTTTACGTAATAAACAAATCACTGAGGTTCCCCTCTGGGCCAGCAGAAAAGATCTCATTAGCTTTCTCCTTGTACTCTGTCCTCCCCTCTCCTTCTTTGTTGTTTGTTTTTGTTTGTTTATTTGTTTTGATCTGTTTATTTTAGAGAGAGAGAGAGAGTGAGTGAGAGAGCCTGCAAGCAAGCAGGGGAGGGGCAGAGAAAGAGGGAGGCACAGAATCTGAAGCAGGCTTCAGTCTGAGCTGTCCCAGAGCCCAATGTGGGGACATGGGGCTTGAACCCACAAACTGTGACATCATGACCTGAGCTGAAGTCTGAGCTTAACCTCTTCCTTCTTGAGAATGTATACATGCCTGTGTGCACATGAGCCAAGTTCTGCATTTGGTTGCTGGAAACAAGACAAGATTCAGAGCGCCTTTGGAGAATTCAAATCAGAATTTTCGAGCTAGAAGGCTGCTAGAAATCTAAACTATCTGGTCATGTCACAGATGGAGAAAGAGGCCTGGAGTCCCGAGATGACCTGTCCAAACAAGTCAGAGGCAGAGCTGGGACTGGGACCCCACTGGCCATTTCCCTGTCCCTAGTCTCTGTGGATCAGGCTTGGGAGAGGGCTTAGAGGCACAAGGAGCTGTGTCCACGGACGTGGGTCACACTGGGTTCTCTCCAAACACACTGTCAGACAAGCGTGCCATTTGGGAAGGGGAGGGCACACGAGATGTGGCGTTCAGAGCACAGATTCCCAGGAGGATATGCTCTGATAGGAAGGAGGTGCCCAGCTCCCCGAACTTCTGCCAACATTGGGTGTGGCCTTTGACTATGGTGTGTTTGGTCTTTTTTTTCATCACAGTAATCCCATTTGTTAAATGTGCTTTTCAGCCTCCAAAAGGGTATAAGAGTCGTAAGGATATGCTCACTTTTGCTCCTTACAACCTTGTGGCATAGGCTGAATGACTCTTTCATTTTTCAGAAAAGGAAACTGAGGCAGCACAACCAAATTGTTGCTAGAAGATCACACAGAGTTAAAAGCAGAATGCTGGGCCAAGAACCTAGCCTCGGGCTCTCACCGCTAAATTATGTGGTTCTTCTAGTTTATGGCTCTTCCCGATTTTTCTCAGGGGGAGGGGGGTTCAGCCCAGAGCAGTGACCACAGACGAGGGAAAGAGCAGTCATGTGTGGGGAAGAAGCATGCACTGGCCACTTGTGGGCTGCTTCCCTCCTGCTCAGGTTCTTGGCGGCCAGATAAGGAAGCCAGAGCTGGGAGGGAAGTGGTTATTTGTGGACTTGGAATTGGTCTGCCCTTCTAAGTGCAGCTGCTCAGCACAAGTGGCTGCAAGCACGCACGTCTGGTGTACTCACTGAGGTGGAGGGTCCCCGTGTACTGGAGAGGCCCACAGTTTGCTTTTCACAGACACATCACTTCACGTGTTTATACAGCTCTCTGTTTAAGCAGAGGAGAACGTACTGCAGTCACTGCCTTCCCACCCTCTAGTGGAAGGGGGAAAGTCCCAGCAGCCTCTGGGAGTTTCCAAGCACACCCCGCACCAGGCAGAATCAGATAAATCAGATACCGCACTGTCGTCCTCTCTGCTCCCACGACAAGTGCTTATATCCTTCTTAGGACACTCACCAAGCTCACCTGTCACCCAAGTAGATGCATACTGATGCATTTTGGCCACGAGAATGTGAGCCCCTTGAGAGCAGGGGTGTCACGTTCATTTTCTGCCAATCTAGCAGAGCGCTTTATGCTCCGTAAGTCTTTAGTATGTTGCATCTCAGGAAATAAGACAAGTCAAGGTCCAGGGAGAGATGACGAAGAAGAAATGGGAAAAAGATAATGGTTCAGCTTGGGCCCAACTTTGTGGATTTGATCAGAGGGGGCAGTGAGACTGAGACCCAAGACACATCTGCTAGAGTGAGAGGAATACTGGGCTGCTTCCTGGTCATCCTGGGGAGACCACACAGCCTTTCCCTCTCACTGAACCATGCTCCACTCCCTGGAATCCGCCCGCCCCACCCAGAGGCCCCTCTGAGCTGTTGGCACGAATTCCGACTTCACCACTTGCTCACTTTGGGCCTGCTTTGTTCTCAGGGGGAGACCGGCACTGCCTCCCACAGGTTTGGAGTTATAGAAGACAAGATAGGTGCTCGTTACGCTGCTTGCTGCTTTCCTCCATCAGCCCACCTCCTCACCTGTCCGTATTGTTCCCACTTACATGGTCATCTCCTGTTTACCCAGTTATGGGCAAGTCTCCCCTAAGGCTGGTTGACGGCAAAGCTCAGGACACTTCCCTTTCTGGCATTTTCAGTGTCCTTCTGGGAGCGCCCACCCAGAGGGGAATCAATACTCCAGGCTCTGGGAGGGAAGGAGGGGGCTGAGAAACTGTGGAACCAGATAGGGGGGATCAAGAAAGGAAGGGATCCCTCAAAGGGGTGACATCAGGCCCTCCTGGCCCAAGGCCGTGAGAGGAGGCCCACCCGATGGTCCTCAGAAGAAACAGAGGCCGAAAAGACGAGTGGAGGCAGCCAGACTGCTGTCCCTGTCTCTGTCCCTCCCTTGATGGCACACAGAACAACTCTGCCGCCCCTTTCAGGCCCCGGGCCTTTCTGTGCTCTGTCTGGCCCCCCAGCCCCGGGGTCCTGAGTGGGTAGGAGGAGTGGAACCAGTGAGGCCTATTCTCCGACAACAATGCCATTCTGTGCCTCAAGATGTCATCAGCCAAACATGCGCTCAGCCCCTGCTCTCCCAGGCCCGGGGGGAGAGAAGTGGGCGGCTGGTGTGACCGAGGGGAAGCCAAAGCTCAGAAAGGAACACACCCCCAGCCCAGAACCCCGGAGCAAAGGAAGAAAAACCATAGGTGCTCCCTGTCAGGCTCAGGCGGGCCTCTGTTCCTGGAGATGGAGAAAGACCCTCAGATCCGAAAACTTGGGGGCTTTCCTCTATGAAGACACACGTATTAACTGCCTTCTCAGGGTTCCTGAGAGCACCCCAGTGGGACTTCCTTCTAGGGCGCCAGCACCTGGGTAGGGAGACCCGTGTAGACTTTGGAGAGGACATCTCACGCAAGGATGGCCTCCAGCTTCCCCCTCCCCTCTCCTCTCCCTCCTAGGGGGTGGGGACATCAGATTTTAGGGAAGTGTTCAGGGGCTCACACTTTAGAGCCTCTCGGGTGAGCATGGGTCCTAAGCACATCTGGTATTGTGGCCAGGCATCCACACCCCTCTCCCCAGTAGATGCTAATGAACTCCAGGGCTGGGTCCCAGCTTTGGCTCTAAATCACCCCAGTGTCTGGCATTCAGCCTTGGTCATTGCCTAATGGTGGTGATTGTGCATTGGAATGGCAACCATGGCTGCCTCCTGTCTTCTGTGGTCACTAATGTCTGCAGTGCCTGCTCTGCCTCATTCATTCACGCGTCTACTCCCGCACGCGGACGTGGCCGTGTTCTGTGTTTCTGCAGGAGACGCTGCTCTAGGGACAGGGAACGGAGCTATCAGGCGTTGTGCTGAACTACCAGCATCCCTGGGCTGGCGGACCTATGGTGCCATCATCTCTCCAAGGCCCAGCAAGGTGGCCAGCCTTGAGGGAAGTACAAGGGGCTTGCAGAATTAGATCGGATCTTAAAGATAGCGGGTGCCTGTGTCCGTGCGGCTCCCTCCCCTTCCGCCTGGCATCCTGGGGAGCCAGCTCCACAGGCTAAGACCTTCAAGACAAAATGCTCCCAAGGAGCCAGGCCTGGAAGTGCAGTCTGTACAAACCGAGGTGCCGAACAGAGACTGAGAGGGGAAGGTGGAAAGGAGGAAGGCAGGGCTTGGGGGGAGGGGCAGGAAGAGCTGGGAGGGGGTGAGGGGCATGCGTGGGGGTGGGGGAGCAGATGGAAGCTTACCTCTTCTGCTGCTGTAGGTTCTGCTCATCTCGGCTCTGAGCCCAGGACTCCCGTCTCTGGAGCCATCTACACAATTTTCTCCACAGGCAGAGAATGAACCCTTTGTCCTTGGGCAGCGGCAACCCCATGGGGTGTAGGGCCGGCTCCTTGGGGGGCTGAGGCCGAGGCCAGGCCCCCAGAGCACTCAGCCGTGGGGCCACATCAGCACCCCCAAGGGCCAGCCTGCCCTCTCCCTGTAGAGGTCCCGTCTCCTACCTTCCTGGTCCCTCCCTCCCCGAGGAGTCTCCCCGAGGCGCCAGAGCCCCACCGCAGCGGGCTCTGAGGTTCTTACACTTGGCAGAGCTGGGACTCCCTCTGCTGGGTTCCTCCTAGGAACTCCTCTCTGGAGCGAGGGAGCGAGGGAGCCTGCAGACACTCCCACCCTGCTCCCAAATTACCTGAGATTTAAAGAGACAGGCCAGCAGACCTGCCTTCCATCTGCGTTAACTCCCTCCCGGCCTGCCTGGGTCTCTCTCCCTGCCCCCAGGCCAGTCCAGGAAGGGGAGGCCTTCCGAGAATGGAGAGGCCTCCCTTGGACTTTGGGACACCTGGGGACCTTTTATAGAAAGGCCTGGACAGGTCAGACTAGCCTGAGAGACTAGGCGTGAGGGAGGAGGGGAGGAGTCAGGCCGCCTTGGGGACTGACGGGCCCCACAGGGAGAGAGTAGCGCCCACCCGTCTCCCAGGGTCTTTCCTGCGTCTTTCCCTCCCGGACACTCAGCTTTTCCTCACTCTTCCAGCTTAGTCTCTAGCCTGCCCAGAATGGGTATGTAAACAGGAAAACTGAGAGTGTGGGTTGGCAAACTTTATCTGTAAAAGGCCAGATAGTACATGTAAGTATTTTCAGTGTGGCAAAAACACATACAAACACGTAGTCTCTGACACCATGTTTTGTTTTGTTTTGTTCGGCTAGCCCTTCAGAGATGTCTAATCTATTCCGAGCTCACAGGCCTGGGCATATAGTGCAGCTGTGGGCAGGATATGGCCCCTTCTGACTGCATAGACTCCTCCTCTGGAGTTCTAGACTCTAGAGTGCTAGGGCCCACCCCCAACATCTGTATTGAGTTACCAAATAAAATACAGGACAGGACGCCCCATTAAATTGGAATTTCAGAGAAACAATGAAGATTTTTTTTTTAACGTTTTATTTATTTCTGAGAGAGAGATAGAGACAGCGTGAGCAGCGGAGGGTCAGAGAGAGAGGGAGACACAGAATCCCAAGACAGGCTCCAGGCTCTGAGCTAGCTGTCAGCACAGAGCCCGACACAGGGCTTGAACCCACAAACCATGAGATCATGACCTGAGCCAAAGTCGGACACTTAACCGACTGAGCCACCCAGGTGCACCGAATTTTATTTTTTAGTATAAACGTGCCCCCAATATTGCAAGGCTATTCTCCAGCAATCGCTGGTAGAGGCAGCCTCTGTTCGCTGTGACGGCCTTCTGGGCCCAGGTAAACTCACCTCAAACCTGTGGGGCAGGTATTCTTGGCTACATCTTACAGATTAAAAAACAAAAAACAAAGACAAAGCTCAAAGTGGCAAAGTAAATCACCCACGATCATATAGCCCATTAGTGGCAGTGGCCGGATTGAGACCTGCTCCCACATCCCCGGGGGCCGATGGGGGCCCAGCATGGTGAGGTGGTTTGCACCGGGCAAGAAGGCGACGGAGCGCAGCCCATCCCTGTCCCCACTGCCCCAGGAGCAAGCTGGGAGCCATCACCGTCATTGAGTCCAACCTTCCACTGGAAAGAGACCAGAGTCCTGGCTTACGCAAAGTCCCAGGGCAAAGCAGGGACCTGATAGCCTGGGGCATGGGTGTCTGGGCATTTAGAGTCACTGGTATGTGTGGGTCACTCCCTAGCTTCAGAGTCTGTTTTTTCCTACGTGTCTCTGATTCAGAGAGCTGGAAGACAGCATGAGGTGTGTGTGTGTGTGTGTGTGTGCGCGCGTGTGTGGTATGTGCATGTGTGCATGCGTGTGCATGGGTTGGTACGTGTGGGGGAGAGGGGGGAGCTTAGGTGCAGGGCTGGGGTGTCTCTGTGGGCAGGGAATAGGAGGGCAACCCTCAAATCTAAACGGAAAGCTGCACGCCTGTCCCTACTGTTGGGCGCAAGGCCAGGCCATGGAGCCCTGAGCAAACAGCACAGTCCCATTAGCCGCCTTCCCCACCCACCCAGGGGTCAGTGGGTTCGGGTTGGGTGAGGGGGGGAGGCGCTAGGACCCAAACCTTCAACCAGGACCTTTGTGCCCATTAAGCTGGTGTGTCTGCCTGCTGACCCACCCACCTTCTCTTTACTGCTGGGCTCCTGGGAAAGACCCCAATTCAGTCGCTGCCTTTTTGCATTGAGTCACCACGACTTAGGGGAGAATGGGCTCACCATGGGCATGGGGGGCAGGGAGGAGGGGGTAGATGGCCGAACACAAGCTTCTGCCAACAGTGTTCTCTCAGCTCTTGGGTGCAACGCCGTGTGCTTAGACAGTGGGGAAGGTGGGCCAAGGCTTGGGTGATGCTGCCCACACTGATCCACTCACATCTTGAAGCCACATCCCCTATTCCCACCAGGGAAGGCAGGCTCTGAGGGGGCAGTAAGGATGCCGTGAACTCCTCCAGTCTTGGGGAGACTTGCATGGCTCCCCAGCCCACTCCAAGGCCACGCTGGGCAGCACCTCCTCACAGCCAAGGACTTGGTTGGCTCTGCAACCCAGAATCCCAGAGTCAAGTGTCCGAATCCCGGAGGTTATAGATGCAGGGGCTGAGGGCATGAGGGGGAGAGCAGAGGTCACGGGAGAGGGGTCACAGCTGCTGGCCTCATCTGGTGATATCTGCCATCACACCCTATCAAGTCCTTTTGCCTAGACTCCAAATCTAGGAGAACTTTTATGACCCCCAGCAAGTCATTGTCCCTTTCAATGGTCCCGCGTGAGAATAAGCATACCTACCTCCAGTCTGTCCTTGACCTCACGGCTGTTGGTCTGCAACCTCGCCTGGGGGTGGGGGGGGAGGGTACTGAAGAGGCCAGGGCGCATTGCAGGGGTGGGGTGGGGGTGGAGGACCAAGACAGACAGGAGGCTCCACTTGGCCTGTGAGAATATGCCGACGGTTTCTAGTCAGTTCTCCTGCCTCAGGCTGAGCTTGAACTCGAAGCCAAGTTAGGTCTTCAGGATTCAGCAGAGGGGCAGTGGTGATGCGGGGTATGACCAGCCCCCTCCGAGGGCCACACTGGCAGACTGGAGGAGGCCAGGGAGATGACGTGTGTATCAGTACGTGAGGACTGGACCACAGAGGCCACACACTGCTGATTTGTACATTTCAGGCATGGTTTCTCAACCTGGAAGCACGGATGTTTTGGAACAAATAATTCATCAGTGTGAGTCTGTCCCACACGTTGCAGGACCATTAGCTGCCACTTCTTGGGTGACAGTGGCATCCCCTTCCCTCAGTTGTGATGTCAAAAAATATCTTCAGACATTGCTTGGTGTTCCCTGGGGGACAAGATCACTCTCCATGGAGAACCACTAATTCAGGGCAAAAAAATGTATACATTTAATTTTTTCTGGTTTTGTCCCTCTTTGTTTGTTCTGTCTTTCTATGTTTCCCTCTGGTTTGCCTCTCTCATTGGCTCTCTTTGCAATTGTATCTGCTCCCTTGGTCTCAGACCATGTGCTCACATGTGTGGCACTTGTGTGCATGTGTATGTAAGGTGTGATGTGCGTGCATGCACGTGTGTGTGGTGTATAGTGTGGGGTGTGTGTGTGGAGTTGTGGTAATGATGTGGTATATAATGTGGTGGTGAGGTTATAGTGTATCATGTGGCGCACGCACGCGTGTGTGCATGTGTGTGGTATATGTGTGGTTGTGATGTACGATGTGGGGTGTGTGTGTGTATGATATGTGTGTGATTGTGGTGTACGATGTGGAGTGTGTGTGTGTGTGTGTGGTATGTGTGTGGTTGTGATGTATGATGTGGGGTGTGTGTTTGTGTGCAGTATGTATGTGGTTGTGGTGTATGATGTGGGGTGTGTGTGCATGTGTGGTGTGTGTGTGGTTGTGATGTATGATGTGGGGTGTGTGTTTGTGCGTGGTGTGTGTGTGGTTGTGATGTATGATGTGGGGTGTGTTTGTGTGCAGTATGTGTGTTGTTGTGGTGTATGATGTGGGGTGTGTTTGTATGTGTGTGTGTGTATGGTTGTGATGTATTATGTGGGGTGTCTGTGAGGTGTGTGTATGGTGGTATATGAGGTGTGTGGTGTATGATGTGGTGTGTGTGTGTGTGCGTGGTATGTGTATGGTTGTGGCGTATGATGTGGGGTGTATGTGTGTGTGTTTGGTTGTGGTGTATGATGTGGGGGTGTGTGTGTGTGTGTGTATGGTTGTGGTGTATGATGTGGTGTGTGTGTGTGGTTGTATGATGTATGTCAGTGATGGTCTATGATGTGGGATGTGTCTGTGTGCCCGTGAGTCTGAGGAGTCTCTCTGTGGAGCCCTGGGTTTCTTTTCCTTCTTTCTCTCGCTCTCTGCTCTCTGTTTCCTGGCCCAGCCGACCCTGTCACCCCGGCGCTGCTCCCCACGCCCTTTGGGAGGGTGTCTCCTCCTCGCTGCTGCGCGCAGGGCCCGCCACAAAGAAAAAAGAGGCGAGAGGCTGAGGATGGAGCCAGCACGGGGCAGCGGGGTCAAAGCCGCTGCTCACTCAGCCTGGAGTTTGTTCCGGTGACCGGGTTCACAGCCCTGAGTGCCAGCCAGCTCATAAAGCCTGCACAGCGCGGACGGCGGGTCAGCAGGTGCACGCATGCACGCGCGCGCGCACGCACACACACACACACACACACACACACACACACACACAGGCATGCCCCGAGCACCACCCAGGGACTTGGTGGATGTGGAGGCTGGACTGGCGGCCACCTGCCGGGAGCCAGGTGCACGGGGCTCAAATGCGGGATGGGGGGCTGCCTGGGCGGCGATTTGTGCTTGAAACGCTCCAAGCGCCTTTGCGACTCAAACACCCTGTGATTCTGCACCAAGAGGAGCCACATGCGGTTCGGTGGGTGCACAGTCCCTTCAGCTTTCATAGGTCAGGAGGTCCCACTTTCGCCCAAAGT